ATGAAATATCCATAGACAGATAGATATAGCAATAATTAAAAAAAATATATTGAAATTTTATATTTTTGCAACATATATATATATATATATACAGTGGTGGCCAAAATGATTAGAACACTAGTATTTCCAGCAGCTAAAAATGGTTTTAAGTCAGTTATTTCTATCTTTTGCTGTAGTGTGTCAGTAGGAAATATCAGTTTACATTTGCAAACATTCATTTTGCCATTAATGTTTGTGCTGCACACAGAGATCTGATCTGATCATCATCAGTCTGTCTGGAGTCAAATGAAGAAACAGAACAAACTGAGACAGACTCAATCCAGAAGAACTGTCTCCAAAACGCTTCAAGAAACCTCCTGCAAAGCTACAGTACTCTGTGTGGAACACTGGCTGTTGTCTCCTTGTGCAAACAAAAATCTCACTGGATTACTACAATTACAATTAATGGCAAAATTGATGTTTGGATGTTTGATGTCATATTTCCTACTGACACACTCCAGCAAAAGATAGAAATGCCTGACTTAAAAGCATTTTTTTTTTTTAGCTGGTGCTTTAAAGGGGTCATATGATGCTGCTAAAAAGAACATTATTTTGTGTATTTGGTGTAATGCAATGTGTTTATGTGGTTTAAGGTAAAAAAAAAAAACATTATTTTCCACATACTGTACATTATTGTTTCTCTTTTATGCCGCGCCTTTCTGAAACGCATCGATTTTTACAAAGCTCATCGGTCTGAAAAGCGAGGTGTGCTGTGATTGGCCAGCTGTCCAGTGCGTTGTGATTGGCCGAATACCTCAAGCGTGTGACGGAAATGTTACGCCCCTCACCATATTTTGGAAATGCACAGCATCTCCACGACATGCCAGCGGCAGCAACAATTACATTACAATCACGTTACACATTACACAGCCTTGACGTAATTTAATTTCAGTCAGAGTTGTGACAGAGTTGAAATTCATGAATGAGAAGTGCTGAATCCCACCACAAAAAGTCAGTGACGTCTCTTATAAAATGCAATTTTTTTCGGTGTAAACTCTAAAAATAGCCTAATTCAATCCAAAAGTGTTGTTTAGTGTAAAACATGTTGGAGATTAGCTGATAGGCTGTTGATTCATTAAATGATGAGCTGTTTCTTCTAAAAAGTTGTTTATTCAGTGTAGTGAAGTCTCTGCTCCATTGACATCCATTAAAAAAAAATGGCCTCTGGTCTCCTTTCCCACGTACTGCCAGACCGGAAGCGTTAGTCAAGTCAAGTCAAGTCACCTTTATTTATATAGCGCTTTTAACAATACAGATTGTGTCAAAGCAACTGTACAACATTAATTAGGAAAACAGTGTGTCAATAATGCAAAATGATAATAGTAAACACTAATTTTAAAAGAAGACAGTTCATCATTGAATTCAGTGATGTCAACATCCAGCTCAGTTTAAATAGTATCTTTGAAATCATGTCAACGATATCGCCGGAAATGAAGTGTCCCCAACTAAGCAAGCCAGAGGCGACAGCGAGACTTTAGTCTTTGCAACTTTACAGATCTTCTTCATGCACCAAGAGCTTGTAACACTCCAAAGAGAAAGGAACAATTTAAATCGCATCATATGACCCCTTTAAATAAATCATTTTATATTTCTCTGTTTCAAATGGATGTCATATTTTGCTAGAAAAATTGTAAAAAAAAATTTTTTCAACAAAAACAACTTTAAATTAATCGTTTTATATTTCTCTGACGTTTTTATGTCATTTTGGCAGCTAATTGCAACTTTTGCTGCCATTCTATATTGATGCTTAGAAAGAAGGTTCAAAACCAAAGTATAAAAGCGAGTGAAGCAATGCTATCGATTTCATATGTCTCCATTACACAGCAACATGGGAAAGTGGCTGCCACTGTAATGATGCAAACATACCATAGTTCTGACACCCCCCCCACACACACACACTGTGAACACAATCCAGCGGTGGCAGGGGAGCAATTAAACTCTGTTTCGGACCAAGCAATCAAACCAAGTGTAATCAAACCAACCAAAGCACCTGTATGTTTTAATTCTAAATTATTCTTATTTTCTACATGCTCATGTTGCACTACTACTTTACTATTTGTACTACTATAGCTTGCTTCTTCTGAAGAAATATTCTGAATGTGAAATTATGGACTTGATTCTCTAGTTAGCTCAAATGGCCTTGGTGTTTAATATTTTGTTTCTTTAATTTAAATACTGTAATAATAACAACATGATCTGTGATGAAAACCCTATTGATGTGACACATTTTAAATTTGGATTATATTTTGGAAATCAGGTTTTAATAAAAGTTGCTAAACATGAAAGAAACTTTTGAGTATAGCCTCATTTAGTGTTTACATTTGATGAAGCTGATACATATTTTTGCTTTGTCTATATATGCTTCATATTTGACCACATTCAATAAAACGTGTATTTTCTTTATGTAATTGCACATAGACGTTTGAAGCATAATTTACAAAACAGTACAGCTGTAACAAAAACACAGCACTCAAAGTTATAGCTGTTATTTAACACTATATGATTGGGAAAGGAAATGGAAACTTTGTGGTTTTAGTGTCTCAGCATCATGATGTAACCTTTAGTTTGATCAACACCTTCACGAAGGACAGACACAATGGAGAAAGCCATCTTTGTTTGTGTTTTTTCTTCCTGGATTATGCAAATAATTTCCAGCGGTAAGAATACTCTTTAAACGTGCACTCACCATTTTAACGTCAAATACAACTATTATTTTTTATCAAAACTATTTCAGAGAATTGGTTTATCTATTTTTCTCCAGATGTTTCAGAACATGAAGTGACTCTGTTAAGAGTTCAGAAGGGAGAAAGCATCAGCCTGAACTGCAATTTGACAAACAGATATGAGTTGGCCTGGTATCACCAGTATTCTCAACAACTAACTCAACTAATATCTGCTAAGACCAGCAGTGTAGCGGGAAGAAAACTGCTAGTTAGGTACAATCAAAACTGGAGTCGTCTGACAGTGAAAGCAGATGTGGAGATCAACACAGTCTCGCTAGTTATTTCTGATCTAACAGAGCCAGATTCAGGTCTTTATTTCTGTGGAACAAAATCAGTGACTTCAGAAATGCACTTCAACAAACCCGTAAGACTACAGATGGAGGGTTAGTACTGCTGACTTCCCAATTTCTCTCAAATCTTTATAATGATTTCAATGAGGAGATTTTTGTTAATTATTTTACTGTTGCTCAATTTATTCCAACTCTTAAAAATTAAGGTTCCCAAAGGGGGTTTTCACAGAAATATCATAGAACCATTTTAGCTTCCCCAAAGAACCATTCAGTGAATTCTACTTAATTGTTTTCTTAGTGTGAAGAACATTTTAATAACCCAAAGAAGCTTTTTCCTCTATAAATAATCTTTTTGTGGAATGGAAAGATTCTGTGGAATCATGAAGAACCTTTAGTGTTATGCAGTGTTTGTGCTCCAGATAGGATTGATTCCTGAAATCATGTGTGTTATTGAGGCGTTTGCTGCTAATATTGAAATTCTTAGTGTTTGAGTAAGTGATCATATATTTAAAATATTTTCAGACAAGCTGACAGACAGAGAGGACAAAGTTAATTCCGTCACAGATCCGCCAGAGGATGCTGAGCTCACAGGTGAGAGCGGAAATCATTCTTACTTGAGTATCATTTTTCATAACTCTATAGTTCTAAAATCAGTATTAATTCTTCAGTCAAGTATATTAGTGTGGAAGTTATCAAAGCAAAAACAGTTCATTGGTCTGACTGTACAATCTTAAAAAATAAAGGATCCAAAAGGGATTTTTGCAGTGATTCCATAGAAGAACCATTTTTGTTTCTCTACAGAACTATCAATCAAGACTAGTGTCTGAACTATCTCTGTTTCTTTATTCCGTTGTTTAATTAGTTTATGAATGTTATGTGTCTCTGTGTAGACGGGGTGACACTGACGGAGCGTGTGCTGATGTTCGGTGGTGTTGGTTTGGCTGTGTTGGTGTTTTTTCTGGCTACAGTCATCGCAGGAGGAATTATTCACTATCGCGGCTGGCAGAAAGGATGGACCGCAGCCAAACGCTCATCTCTGATTCACCACAAATCAGCTAAATAACACATTTATGTGTTATATGTTTCACTGTATTCTAGTAATCAATATTGCTGTAGGTTACAACCTATGGTGGCTCAACAAAGTGGTTCAGATGTGGTTCTGTTGGCCAGATCTCACTTAGACTTTTGTTGAGGCAAAGCTCTAGAGAAGCATTAATATGTACAAATAAGCTTTAGTTTAATAGAAAATATACGGTACATACCATCTGTTTTATGGCACATAAAGCTTGATTAGATAAAATGTCTTCAATGTTAAATGTGTTGTTGAGAGTTCTGATCAAATAAACAACAGTAAAACTAAGAAATCACATGTGTTTGTGCATTTTCTGACAGAAAACCTGATCATTAGCAATGCTAACCCTCTCAAACACAATTGTATACTTTCAATGATATCAGATCTGTTCTTACAGCCTGGTCTCATTGTTTATACTAATACGTAACATTTACAAGCACAAAACGTAAATTTTGTACGTTTTTATTGATGGTAAAACATACAATTTTGACGTATTTCAACGTTTAAAACGTACAAATCGCTACATATTTTTAGCTAAAAAATGTAAAATATTTACTTATCTTTTATATCATTAAGATATTCGTATCAATGCATTTTTATCATTTTATCAATAAGGGAATTTACAAGCACAAAACGTAAATTTTGTACGTTTTTATTGATGGTAAAACATACAATTTTGACGTATTTCAACGTTTAAAACGTACAAATCGCTACATATTTTTAGCTAAAAAATGTAAAATATTTACTTATCTTTTATATCATTAAGATATTCGTATCAATGCATTTTTATCATTTTATCAATAAGGGATTTCGATTTTTAGACCCCTTAACCTACCCCCAAACCTAAACCTATCCATTTTATAGCGAATATGAAAGGATATAAAATACAATTGACTGAAATATGCTGGAAAATAACCATTTAAAACAATATAGCATTCAAATATTTTTATAGTCGCTAATCCCTCTCTTACCTCTAAACCTAAACATAACTATTTCTGTACAGTATAAGAAAAACATGACAGACAGATAAATGCAATTACAATTATTTTTTTATTGCAAAAATGTCAAAAGCAGTGCAAAAAGTAATCCAAATGACGATGCATTGCAGCCGTAGTTCTCTCTGGCTGAATATAGTAGGTTTGTGTGAGGTGCAGAGCAGAATTTATGTTGTTAATCGCTGAAAACATTACCCAGTTTATTTTCCCGATCCACTCCGTGAACTCATGAAGGCGTGTGCACATCATTCAAACAGACCTCACCAGAAACACGGCATGTCGCAATATGTGATGAATGCAGGCAAGAGCCAATGAACATTCGATGATCCTGCCGTTAAACCTGTCGTTTGAAGAGGCAACATTTGAATTTGTAAAGGGCGCGTCAGTCAGCGCGGGCTTTGCTGCTTACAGTCGCTGGACTTGCTGCTCGGGATGGAGATGATCGCCGAATAAAGGCTTAGATTTGAGTCTGTTCCTCGCAGTCGTATGGATTCGGAAGATTTGGATTACAGCGCACAAATAAAATGGTTTCATTTCGTAGTTATGCTGCGTTTTTGTTGCATTTTAAAGTTCTATTGGTTTACTGACCAAGATGCCGCCGCACATGACAGCCACGGTGCTTGGCTCTCCAGTTGTTTTAGTGTTTTTGTTAGTTTGTCCTGTTTTTTGTTTCTCAAACACTATCAGTTTTACCAGGGATGAACTGCTGAACATTCGGCAGAACACACCACAAAATCTTCTACCGGTTTTCGATTATTCAGACATTTTGCTGAACGTTATAGTTGGCGGAGCAGCGGTGCTGATCATATGCTTCAGGACGCGCAGACGGGGGTCAAACTCTGCTGCTCTGTGTTTCTGAATGACGCCATACCGGACAGTGCGTTAAATCTGCTGAGCTTTCAGCTGTTCAGAGCGGACCGTGACGCAGAATCAACGGCGAAATCGCGAGATGGCGGAACATGCTTTTACATCAATGAGAGGTGATGTACAGATGTAACAGTGTTAAAGAAGATGTGCTGTCCCGATCTAGAAGCGCTCTTCATTAACTGTAAGCCGTTCTATTCACCGTGAGAGTTTTGTTCGTTCATTCTCGTGAGTGTTTACATTCCTCTGCAAGCACACGTTAGCTTGGCTTTGCAAAAACTCACTGATCAAATCACAGAGACAGAACAACAACACCTGGACTCTGTAATAATCATTCTTGGGGACTTTAATACAGCAAATCTTTCCCGTGAACTGCCAAAATACAGACAGCATGTTACATGTCCCACCAGAGACAGTAATATATCGGACCATTGTTACACCACAATAAAGGATGCATATCTGTCCCCAGAGCAGCTTTGGGGCTCTCTGATCACTGTTTAGTTAATCTCATACAGACAGAAATTGAAATCATCTAAACCTGTAATAAGGACTGTTAAAATATGGACTAATGAAGCCTGTTTCGACCTCACTGATCGCAGTGTTTTTGAAGCTGCTGCCAACGATCTGGACGAGCTCACAGAGACTGTAACATCTTGTATCAGTTTCTGTGAAGATATGTGCATTCCTACCAGGACTCATCTAACTTACAACAATGACAAAAACTCAGAGAGCTCCGTCAGGCCAAAGAAGATGCTTACAGGAATGGGAACAGAGTCTTATATAAACAGGCCAAATACACACTGGAAAAGGAGATCAAAGTGGCAAAGAGGAATTATTCTGAAAAGCTAAGGATCCAGTTCTCTTCCAATGACACGGCTTCAGTGTGGAAAGGTCTAAAAGACATTACCACCTACAAGACACCATCCCCCAGCACTGTGGAGAATCAACAACTGGCAGACGATCTGAATGAGTTCTATTGAAGGTTTGAGAAAACACCATTAACACCTCCAGCAACCCCCACTCTCCCCCACACCTACACTTCAGATCAGTGAAGATAATGTGCATCAGGTCTTCAGAAAGAACAAGAGAAGAAAGGCACCAGACACAGACGGTGTGACACCAGCCTGTCTGAAAACTTGTGCTGACCAGCTGGCCCCCATCTACACTAGGGGTGTAACGGTATGCGTATCGTGTACCGAACGGTTCACACGCAAATTCCAAATTCCTATCCCCTTGGAGTGGGGACTTTGGAGTGAGCAGGGCACGTGCGTGCCATTATGTAGTCGTTTGGAATGCACTGGGCAAAGGGAGCGAAGTAAATTCCTCATTATATTCAGCTGGCATGTTCCCGTGACAACGCAGCACGGTGTCCGTCAGCAGATGTTGCTGTTTTAATGTCATATATGTCATTTTATTGTTGTTAGCATAACTGTTGCAAATAAACATACATTTTATATTTAAATTTGTAAAAAATATGCTATATAATATATATAAAACTTTTGAAAATATAAAATGTATTTTTTTTTATGCCGGTGTCCATCAGCGAATCTGCTGGCGGACACCGTGCTGCATTGTCACAGGAACATCCCAGCTGAAGATAATGAGGAAATTACATTGCTCCCTTTGCCAAGTGCATTCCAAACGACTACATAATGGCACACTGTCATGTGTGCCTACTGTGCTGGAGCGAGGAGACTCCAATATTTTTTGAAGTTTAATGAACAGAACACCAGGAAAGCACACGTAGCACTGGGGTGAGACAAACAATTCCGGAAGCTGGACATGGAAACACACAGGGCTTAAATTATGGGACCAATCAAGGAATTAACAAGGAGATTAAAGGAACACAGCTGAAACTAATGGAACTCAAATGGGAACAGGAACAGGAAAACTAAATATGGGCATAATCATAAACATGGAGCATGTGGGGGAGGAAAACAAAACACAAGACATGAAACAGAGTCTGACACACACGTGCCCTGCTCACTCCAAAGTCTCCACTCCAAGGGGATAGGAATGATCACTTCCATTTGGAATTTGCCTGTGAACTGTTCGGTACACAATGCGCGTACCGATACACCCCTAAAGCTCCGTCAGGCCAAAGAAGATGCTTACAGGAATGGGAACAGAGTCTTATATAAACAGGCCAAATACACACTGGAAAAGGAGATCAAAGTGGCAAAGAGGAATTATTCTGAAAAGCTAAGGATCCAGTTCTCTTCCAATGACACGGCTTCAGTGTGGAAAGGTCTAAAAGACATTACCACCTACAAGACACCATCCCCCAGCACTGTGGAGAATCAACAACTGGCAGACGATCTGAATGAGTTCTATTGAAGGTTTGAGAAAACACCATTAACACCTCCAGCAACCCCCACTCTCCCCCACACCTACACTTCAGATCAGTGAAGATAATGTGCATCAGGTCTTCAGAAAGAACAAGAGAAGAAAGGCACCAGACACAGACGGTGTGACACCAGCCTGTCTGAAAACTTGTGCTGACCAGCTGGCCCCCATCTACACTAGGGGTGTAACGGTATGCGTATCGTGTACCGAACGGTTCACACGCAAATTCCAAATTCCTATCCCCTTGGAGTGGGGACTTTGGAGTGAGCAGGGCACGTGCGTGCCATTATGTAGTCGTTTGGAATGCACTGGGCAAAGGGAGCGAAGTAAATTCCTCATTATATTCAGCTGGCATGTTCCCGTGACAACGCAGCACGGTGTCCGTCAGCAGATGTTGCTGTTTTAATGTCATATATGTCATTTTATTGTTGTTAGCATAACTGTTGCAAATAAACATACATTTTATATTTAAATTTGTAAAAAATATGCTATATAATATATATAAAACTTTTGAAAATATAAAATGTATTTTTTTTTATGCCGGTGTCCATCAGCGAATCTGCTGGCGGACACCGTGCTGCATTGTCACAGGAACATCCCAGCTGAAGATAATGAGGAAATTACATTGCTCCCTTTGCCAAGTGCATTCCAAACGACTACATAATGGCACACTGTCATGTGTGCCTACTGTGCTGGAGCGAGGAGACTCCAATATTTTTTGAAGTTTAATGAACAGAACACCAGGAAAGCACACGTAGCACTGGGGTGAGACAAACAATTCCGGAAGCTGGACATGGAAACACACAGGGCTTAAATTATGGGACCAATCAAGGAATTAACAAGGAGATTAAAGGAACACAGCTGAAACTAATGGAACTCAAATGGGAACAGGAACAGGAAAACTAAATATGGGCATAATCATAAACATGGAGCATGTGGGGGAGGAAAACAAAACACAAGACATGAAACAGAGTCTGACACACACGTGCCCTGCTCACTCCAAAGTCTCCACTCCAAGGGGATAGGAATGATCACTTCCATT